TCAATTAAATGCATATATTTTTATATTTATATATTGATATATGTATAAAGACTTATTTTTATTTTGTTGTATACAAATCATTATTTATTTACTAGTTCAATGAGTATAATTTAACGCCTGAAATATTTTTATTTTCTTTAATTTAATTTATGAATTAAATTTAATTAATTCTGATGATGATGGTAAAGTTAGTCTGGTAAAGCTAGTCACCTGAAGTCTCTCAATTCAAAATACTTCAAAGCTGAATCTCAACGCTTGTATCTTTCTATATGATATTTGAAGCCAATATACTCTCATCAATTCCAGTAAATAATCCAATGTTATCTTCGATCCGCTAACAAGCCATGTGCTTTGTTATCAGAGGTAACATCCTTTAGCATTTCGACATCAATTTGGCTGTCATTAATTACATACAGCGTGCATGTCATGACATACACATACATATACGACAATAACTTGCTCATCCACCTCCCACACACACACACCCACACACACACATATATATATATATATATAATACACACACGCGCGCGTAAAGCTCTTTGATTTGAGGCTTTCGTCGGCCATTTTGTGGCATCTTTGTACGTGTATTTTTCATTTCCGCCTCGTCGTTGCGGTATTTCCGTTCATTTTTCACATATTTTACAGCATTGAGCCTTTGCTCATGTGTGTAAGTAGCGCGCCAAGTGGCGCACAAATGAAAACTCGCTGTGCTTTCCCTGCCTTCTTCTCATTTTCTTCGCCATTCCTTTTCAATTCTTTGCAATTCATTTTTCATGTTGGCATCGCCGTCTTTGCCGTTGCCGTTGCTGTTGCCGTTGCCGTTGTCCTTGTCGCTGTCGCTGGCTTTGCTTTAAAGCTTTTCGTAATCCTTTTAGAAATTACGTTTCTCCTTTCAATATTATGTTTTATTCGTGTGCATTGGCCACATTGTCAATATTTTTGAACAATGAGCAGCGGATGTGGTTGTCGCCTTGGCCGGGCATTAATCTTAAGCGCAGTGCCAGTCAGTCAGTCACCTGAGCAGCTCCAGGCGGATGGATGGATGGAGTGGACGGAGTGGATGCTTGCAAATACCCAAGAGTCGTAGTGCCTTTTAGTGTTTGGATTTACCTGGCCGCAGCCACAGTAACAGCGCCTCAGCACCAACAATAATACAAACTACTCTAGCTGCAGGCGCCATAAGGAGTCATAAACCACTCAGTGGCCAAGTGAAAATACCGCAAATATTTGCCGCTAACCAACTCTCGAGCAAATCTCCCTCCAACTTTGACTCACGCTCTTGTACTTCCTCTCTCCCTCTCTCTCATTCGCTCTCCATCGTGGTGCTTCGCTCGTGGAGCTTTGGTTTATGTGCTCTACTCCTTCGCCCTTTGATATATGGCGTATACGGCATCGCATCCACCTTTCCCCAAATTGCCTTTTTCGTTAGCCGTGCTGGTTTGTGCGGGCAAAACCGAAAGTGCTGCCATTTATTTTATTGCCACCTTGGCGAGAGCTGTTGCGGCTGTGACTGCGGCTGCAGCTGCTCCGCTTGTCCAGGTGGACAGGTGGACTGGCGGACAGAGGGACAGACGGACAGAGGGACAGACGGACAGGCGGACAGCCAGCGAGCAATGAGTAAAAACTTTGAAAGCTGCCATAAAATAAACGAAGAACCAAAAACGAACAAAACACACAAAAAATGCGAGAAATACGAAGTGACCCAAATGTTTTCGTTGTATTTTTACAGCATTTGGATTTGTGCAGCATTTGGTTTGGGTTTTTATGATGGGATTTTTAACGAAATTTGCTTGTCCAAATTGGAACGGTCGCAGTGTCAGTGTCAGCAAGGTTAAGCTACTCATCAGCGGCGGGTAATCCGCACCTTTACCTCTACTTTCGTCCAATACCGCAAGCACTTGCCAGCTCATTTTAGCCAAGTTGTCTGGTTCATTGGTTCGATGGCATTTGCAGAAGTTGGCACTCAATGCGAAACTCCTTTGGCTCGGTCGGACAGCTGTTCGGCATGCAACCTAATTGAAAAGCAATGTTCTTACATAGTTTATGCTTAAAATGCGATTACATTAATTTCACACACCACAAAACAAATGACAAAGTCAGCCCTGGACGAGAGCCCGAAAGGGTTCTCGCCCACGGATCCTTGCTGTCCGCAAGCTGACAGCAAAGGCTCCAAAGTAGCCCAAACTTGTTGAGAAAACTCGAATGAGAGAGAGAGAAAGAGACAGAGAGAGAGAGTGAGAGGGAAACACAGAGACCACTTGAAAAGCCACTCAGTCAGGTGTTAAAACTAATTTACGACAATTTGACCAACAAACAACAATAGGAACCCTTGCCTCGTCTTGTGGGCGTATGGCAGGTGTGTCGCATCCAAGTGCTTCACATATTTCACACATTGCATTGAAAAGGGTGCAAATTGGGACAGCAGCAGGCATCCAAATCGAACGCTGGAGACATATGCCGCCCAGCCCTCAGGCAACCAAGGAAAGGACCGACCGACTGAAGCTTATCCTCTTAGTAGAGTACTTTGCTTAACACTGACATTTGCAGCTAGTTCTGGCCAAATAAGTTTCAGTTTTCAGCAGATTTAATCGCCCCCAAAGAGTTGGGGCCAGAGAATTGGAGAGGTGAGCTGAGCTGCTGAGTTACGCAAATAAATGCAACTCATTTTGCCCCAATTTTGCAGCCTCATTGCGAAATAATTTGTGTGTAATTAAAGCAGTTACGCCCCATTGGCCGGCCGGGTGGAGGGGTGGCGTGTAGGCGGGGCGGATGGGCGGTTAGATTCGCGTTAATGATTGTTGCTAAAAATTCCAAGGCGTGCACAATTAGTATGTATTATTGTTGATAAATGAAACTTTCGTTTTAGTAATTGGCAGTGTTGTGTAATGGCACTAWAACAGTTACGCCCCATTGGCTCATTGTAACAGGAGACGTGCTAAGAAGTGTAGTAATCACTTTTATCAACGAGCTCGCACTTGGTGTGAATTGGTATCTGAATATTTTATAAGGATTTTTTCAAATATTCGTCGATTTTTCGTTTTACAGCACTGCTGCTATTATTATATCCTATCTCGTATAGTTAATTTTTATCGGTTAGACTATTTGAGAGTATGAATCGATGCATGTCTACACTTTTACGTTTTCCAGCACTGCTGCAGTGTAGTGTGACGATCATTACCACGATAACAGCCTCATTTATTTGACGTATACTCAATTACTCTAGCATTATTCAATTCGTAATACTATTTGATGGTGTTGGAAATCGACTTGTATTGTTAAAAGGTTTACAAAGTTTTAATATGTCCCTTTTACGAATATATTTCATAAACTTGTGTAGCAAAAGTAGTAGTAGAATCAATTGCTCTATCATGAAGTTCGCAACACTGCTAGTACTGTACATCGACTTTGTGGTGTTGAGATGTTTCATATTTATTTAATAAGTTTTCAGAGACTGTATAAGAGTGTCTATGAATATCGTCAGTGTTTATAGATACAGCTCATTGTGCAGTTAGTTATTGCTTTATCTGGCAATTGACAAGAGCAGCTTTAGGAGAAAATCAATGTTGGAAAACTCGAAATTGAATATGAAATACTTTTTACTTTAAGGTGTAAACGGAATTTGGTTAAAAGTAACAGATCGATGCATTCTTTAGTTAACGTGTGCTATACAGACGCCGCCGCGGACCATTTTCATTATTGAGTGCCAGCAACTAGATAGTTAAGAGTGTAGATTAGGCAGCCCGTTTATCTCGCCGACAGCCGTAGCGATCGCAGAGCTTTCGGTCGCAGACATCGTCCTGCACGAAGGACTTGCCCAGCGTGCTCCTCAGCTCGGCGTCGTAGGTGGCCTTCTCCTTGAGGACCAGGCTGTGCATCTGCTCGCGTCTCGCCTCCTGCGCCAGCTTCTGCAGGCTCTGCAGCTCCGAGGTCATAGGACGCAGGAGCTCAACCCGCGGCGCATTGTACGGCGGAGACTCGGTGCCATGGCACTTCATCCAGTTGGCAATGCTGAAATGTCGTTTATTTACTCAACTAAAATATA